CACACACACACACACACACACACACAGTCAAGCGTGAACCGTGCAGAACGCTGTCAATCACTTGGCAGAAACACTCTGCCTGTTTGCAAATTCTTTTGGAGATGTCCCAATAGGCGTCCTCTGCCAAAGCACTCATTTCAAAACCTCTCTGCGGCCTCCTGGGGGACAGTACCAGGAACTGGATGTTTCCAAGGAGTCCAGTTGTTGTTTTCAGATATTTGATTTTTTTTTTTTTGCTTTATTTTACAAAGCACTGTTGCTGGTTGGCATTAGTGCGATCCATCCCTGGGCTCACAGGGCGTGCGCCTGCCTCCCTCTGTTCTCCATGGTTCTAGAACACTCACTGCTCCTCTTCGAGGGAAGACTATACACTTCTGACCCGTGGACACGAGTTCTTGGCCAGTGATTTGGGGGGTTTTTCCTGCTGCATCTGGAGAAGGGAAGTGAGTTGTCCCTTCTAAGTAGAAGTCCTTGGGTCTGTTACTGTTTTCAAAATCACCCTGTTGCTGGGGGCCGTGGCGCACGCCTGTCATCCCAGCGGCTCGGGAGGCCGAGGCAGGAGGATCGCAAGTTGGAGGCCAGCCTCAGCCACTTAGCGAGGCCCTAAGCAACTCAGCGAGACCGGGTCTCAAAATTTAAAATAAAAAGGGCTGGGGAGGTGGCTCAGGGATTCAGTGCCCCAGGAGTCAATGCCCAGCAATATATAGAAAGATATGCAAATAAATAAGTCTGGGAATTGAGCTTAGATGTAAAGCATTTGCTTAGTATGTAGGAGGCTCTGGGTTTAATCCTCAGTACTGGGGGGTGGAGGATGATAAGAGTCCACTTATTATAATTTTGTGTCGAAATCCCTGCCATTTATTTTCTCACCTCCAAGTCTGATGTTCAAGTCCCCCCAAAGTGATCCAAGGACTGATTGGCCCCTTTGGAAGACGAGCTGCTAGTTAAGGATGAGAAGGGACATCTCGCCCCATGGAGCAGGGCGCCCCCTGCAGGCGGAGGGAAGGTAAGGGGCAGCCGGTGGGGAAATCAGCAGTTCTGGCCACCAGGGGGCGCCCGAGGCCCTCCGTCCAGGCCTGGTGCTGTCTCCCTGCGAAGCAGGTCTGAGGACCATCACCCCAAATTTGGCTTTGAACCCCAGCAGCACCCCACCCCCCCACCAGCCAGAGTCCTGGGCCAGGGCCTTGCTGAGTGGCTGAGGCTGGCCTCCACCTTGCGATCCTCCTGCCTCAGCCTCCCGAGCCGCTGGGATGACAGGCGTGGGCCACCTGCGCCCGGCTCAGAGCAAGTTTTTTCAAAGTCATCTTTTTTTTTTTTTAATTTTAACATTGGGATTTTAATAAGTCGATTGAAAGAGACGGTTTCAGTCTCTGAAGCAAGGAACACACACCCACCCTGTCACCTCCCAAGTCTCTGTAGCTTCCCTCTGTTGCTTCTGGGGCCCCGCTGAGCACCCCCCGGCCAGCAGGCATGGGGTTCCTGGGTGGAGGGACCCCTGAGCCGAGGGCAGGACGCTCCGAGCAGGACTCGGCAAGGCCACCTGGTGTCATTAACATGTCACCCCACCCCACCCCAGGGAAAACTCTGTCCTTTGAAGCCTTCTGACATGACCTGAAGAACACAGCTTGTTACTGAGTAGCAGGGCGCACACACGCCTGCCATCCCAGCGGCTCGGGAGGCTGAGGCAGGAGGATCGCAAGGTGGAGGCCAGCCTCCGCCACTGAGCATAGGCCCTGAGCCACTCAGCGAGACCCTGTCTCTCAATAAAAGATAAAAAGGGGCTGGGGACGGGGCTCAGGGGTTAAGTACCCCTGGGTTCAATCCCTAGGACCCCCCCAAAAGAACACAGTTGGTCAAGTTTGACAGGAACCCAGCCCAGGGAGAAATCAAACATCACTCTCTCTCGTCCTGCCTGGGGATGGAACCCACAGGTGTCTGCCACTGAGTCACACCCCCTGACCTTTTGATTTTGTTTTGAGACTGGGCCTTGCTTAGGGGCTGAGGCTGGCCTCCAACTTGCAATCCTCCTGCCTCAGCCTCCCAAGCCACTGGGATGACAGGCGTGGGCCACCGCGTCCAGCTGAAAAAGAATATGCGCTCACAGTGGGACCCTGTGAGAGGACCCACACTCTGTCCCTGGAGGGTGTCCCCTTTCCCTTTTGCCATCCCTTCGAGAGACTCACGCCTGTTCCTCTGAGTGATGGGTCTGACTTGACTTGATCGAAAGAATCGGGGTTCAAAGGAGGGGGACTTCATGCTGCCTCCGTTTCCCAGATGACCCCCGGCTCTGCAGAGGGACTGTGGGGTGGTCCGAAAGAAGAAGAAAATTTAAAAAGACCAAGTCCCCCAGGCAGGGCAGCAGGCTCCTCATCCCAAGGACTTGGGAGGCTGAGGCAGGAGGATCTCAAGTTCCAGGACAGTCTGGGTGACATAGCAAGACCCCCCTCTCCTATTTTCTAAAAGAGTCCAACTGGAAAAGGAGTGTGCACACCCCCCCCCACACACACACACACGAGTTGAATGGACCATGTTAAAAAGAATTGAAGGAAGCAAATAAAAAAAAACTCAGTTCTAAACTTCAGGGGAAAAAAAAGGAACAGAAAACGGTTTTAAAAAGAGAGACAGAAAGAGATGAAATGATTGAAATACAAAATAAAAATAGAAATCAGAAGAGAAGACAGACCTAGGAGACAGAAAAAGAATTATAGATAAAATCTAAACACACATGAGTGGCGCGAAGATTGGAATCTAGAACAAATTAGTGATTTCCTAGGAAATTAGGGATGATCAAACTTAAGCCAAAAGAAGTGGATTTTTTTTGGGGGGGGTACTGGGGATTGAACCCAGGGGCACTTGACCCCTGAGCCCCGTCCCCAGCCCTATTTTGCATTTTATTGAGAGACAGGGTCTCGCTGAGGTGCTCAGGGCCTCACTGAGTTGCTGAGGCTGGCCTCCAACTTGCGATCCTCCTGCCTCAGCCTCCCGGGCCACTAGGATGCCCGGCTGTCTGCTGTGCCCTTACAAGGACCTTCCAAGCAGAAAGAATCTGCAGCATAACCTCAGGTGGCTGTGTCAAGTCTTGCTGCTGCCTTGGGGCTCTCCTGGGCACCCTGGACATGGGCCACCTGACCTTCCCAAGATCTGGCCAGTAGGGGGCAGGGCAGGGCTGCCGAGGACCCTGCACCTGGTCCGCTGGGGGCTTCTGCAGGGGCCCTGTCCCCAGGACCCAGCCAGCGTCCAAAGTCCCAGGGAGGAGACTTCAGCCAATGCCCCTGTGGCGCGCGCGCGCAATGCGCCCCTCACTGGTCGCTGCGCCCTTGGGCAGGTCCCTGAGCTCAGGCGCAGTTTCAGGAGCCCTGGTCATGAGCCATGCCTATTTTTACCCACCAGAGTCAGCCTCAAGGGTGACAGCAGCGACCTGGAACAGAGACCTACTATGGACCCGGCAGTGCCAGGTTTCCATGGGGCCCTTGCCGGGTGCCAAGACCCAGCGCTTCGCCAGGGCTGCGTCCTCCTCCGCCGCCCTCCCCGGCAACCCCGGAGACTCCTGCGACCCCTGAGCCCCCTCCTCAGCCCTGTTTGCTATTTTATTTAGAGACAGGGTCTCCCTGAGTGGCTTAGGGCCTCGCTGTGGCTGAGGCTGGCCTCCACCTTGCGATCCTCCTGCCTCAGCCTCCCAAGCTGCTGAGATCCCACCTTCTGCCAGCTTCTGGAGTAACTGTCCTCTGGGAAGTTGCAGCAGGAGCCGAGATCTGTGAAGAGCCTCCTAGTTCCTTTCAGCACTGAGCATGTGGCCACTGTGTCCCCCTCCCATCCCCCGCTCCCGTCTGACCCATCTAGGTCCCCCCATGTTTGGAAAGTGTCCTTTTTTGGAAGGAAATGGAAAGACGCCCTGGCACAATTCCTCTAGCGGGGGATTAGCTCTTGGGACCTCTGAGCTGCACACCAGAGATCCAGGACTCCCTCAGGGGCAGAGGTAACCCAGAGCTGCTTGGGGGTACCTTGGAGGCTGCAGGAGTCCACACAGACCCAGAGGGGCTGGGGCTCAGTCTGCCTCGCATGTGGGAGGCACTGGGTTCGATCCTCAGCACCACATAGAAATACATGAATAAAAATATTGTGTCCATCTACAACTAAGAAAATAATTTTTTTTCTTTAAAAAAAAAGAGAAGTGAACCCCAGGATATAAGTTAGAGGCTTTCTTTAAAAAATCTAAACATAGCTGAGCGTGGAGGCGCACGCCTGTCATCCCAGCAGGTGGGGAGGCTGAGGCAGGAGGATCGCAAGTTGGAGGCCAGCCTCAGCCGCTTAGTGAGGCCCTAAGCAACTCAGCGAGACCCTGTCTCTAAATAAAATATCAAAAGGGCTGGGGACGGGGCTCAGGGGTGCGGCGCCCCTGGGCTCCATCCCTGGCACCTAAAATGAAATCATATTCCCGAGTGGATCCGTGAACGGGTGGGTGGATGGGTGAATGAGAGGGTTGGCAGGAGGCTGGCTTTACCCCGATCCCTTCAGGGATCACGGTGTCCAGAGGCAGCCAGCAGTGGGGGAGGTGCGGACCTGGCTTGGCCATGGGGCTGGCCAGTGGCCATCCTCAGCCAGGAGCTGGGCAGACCCAGGAGCCCTGTGGGAAGTCCAGTCCCCGTGGCCTCGCCTGCCAGTCTAAGGAGGGAGCTGAGCTGTCCCCTCAGCACCTTCAACAGCTGGCCCCTGCAGGGGGCTCAGTCCTCAGTGTCCAGGCGGGACCCAGAGCAGCCATGTCCCCTAAGGCACTAGGGCCTGGCATTCTGTATTGAGGGCCTCAGGCAGGGATCCACCTGGTCATTAAGGGGACGGGGCTGCTTGGGAGCCTGTTCTGGGCAAATGTGGCTGTGTTCTTGCTGTGTCCCTTTGACGTGGGGGACACAGTGCTGTTGTTGCACGTGCCTGCCACTTTATTCCGCGCGTGCGAGCGTGTGGCTGCGTGTGAGAACTCTCTGTATGAAACTGATTGTGAAAACCAGGTGCACGCGCGCGCGCACACACACACACACACACACAGAGACGCCACTGTGGGCTTGCTGGGGACAGGCAGACAAGGATGGTGGGGACAGGAAGGCCCAGGGTGCTGGCCCCCCCAGACTTTCTTTGCCAAGAAGCCACTTACCTGAGCCCTGCCTGGCCTCAGTGGACAGAAAGTGTCCCTTTCCTCAGCAAACTGCCTGCCCGCTGCGTGAGCAATGCTGGCCCCAAGTGATGTGGGGAAGAGGGACCCCAGCTAGACGCGGTGGCCCACGCCTGTCATCCCAGAGGCTCAGGAGGCTGAGGCAGGAGGATCGCAAGGTGGAGGCCAGCCTCAGCAATTTAGTGAGGCCCTGCTATCCTGAGTGACAGGGTCTGAAATCTCTCCGACTCGGTGGCAAGAACTGAGGTTGTGTGTGTGTGGGGGGGTCCTCCCGCTGCCTCGGTTTCCCAGAAGGCTCCGCTCTGTCACAGCCCCTCTGTGTGACAGGGTGCCTCTGTCCACTGCCAGCATTTCTGTGCACACGTCCAAGGACAGCGCAGGGACCCTGGGGGCACAGCCTGCTGCAAGTCCCTGGGCCAGTCCCCAGAGCCCAGGTGTGACTGCGCCCTGGCTGTCTCCCCCCAGGTGCCCATCCTCTGAGTCTCCAGCCCTGTCCCTGTCCCCAGCACAGGGCCAGGCGGGGCCTGCAGCGCCCGGGATCCCAGGCTGCGGGTGGAGGGTGGGGAGGTTGGGGACTGCATTCCTGCATTCCATGCATGACACTGGGCCCCCGCGGGGAGGAGGGGCGGAGCCAGAGTTGGTGCCTGAAGGGAGGGGACCCAAGGAGAAAGACTAGTCTGCAGCTCCCGGGGGCCATCTCCTGTCCTGCGCGCGCCCTGGCCACCCTGGCGCACGCCCAGGGGCTGAAGTGGCAGGAGCACGTGAGCCGCTTACCAAGCAGCCTGGCCCAGGCGGCCACCAGAGCCCGCCCAGAGGGAGGGTGGCCGGCTGCGGGGGGACTCAGGAGCCCAGAGGAGCTGGGGCACAGGCCCCCGGGGGCCAGAAAGAGGAAGGGGCCAGGTCCCCCCCGGGGCGCAGGAGAGGGGTGAAGTCCTGGGTCCATGGGTCCCCTGCAGCTCATCACCCCCACTTTGCAGATGGGGCAACTGAGACCCGGGCCAGCCAGAGGGGACAAGGTAACATGAGTCCTGTCCCTGTTCATGGTAAGTCCTGAGGTGACAGAGCTGGGGTCTTCTGGGAAACTGGGCAGTGTAAGGACCCCCCCCACACTCAAACCCCAAGTCTGACCATCGAGTCAGAAAGACCTGTCACTCAGAGGAGCAGGAGGAGTCTCTTGAAGGGACAGGAAAAGGCAAGGGGACAATCTCAGGGGACAGAGTGGGTCTTCTCAGAGAGGAGAGGGACCAGGGGCCTCTCCTGCACCCCAGTGTTATGGGGGGGGTCCCGGAGAAGTTTCCAGAGAGTCCCGCCCAGGCCCACTTCTTGACTTTGACGGACAGCGGGGTGACGTCAGACAATCAGGTCCCCACTGCCGTGGCAGCTCTGGTCACACTTTATGGTGGAAGGAGCCACCTTCTCTCCCAGAGTTGCAGGACCTGGTCACAGAAGTGTCCCCTTCAGGGTGACCTGGTCCCTCTTACCCACGCTACTTGGGTCTGCGTGGCTCCCACAGTGAGCAGGCTGTCTGCTGAGGACAGTGACACATCCTGTCACTGAGGCCAGGCAGGGCTCAGGTGAGGGGATTTTTGGCAAAGAAAGCCAGAGAGGGTCACCACAGAAGGCTCAGTTTCTAGTTATTCCCTCAGCCTCAGGTCCCCTCCATCCTCATCTGTCTGTCCCCTGACACCATCACCATGACAACTCCCGCCACGGAAGACTTATCACCATGACAACCTTCACCAGAGGTTCCAATTTTCAAGTGACCAGCCGGGGATAAAGTGGGCAGTATTCTAATGAGGTTTTCTAAAGTGACCAATGGAGGGAAATATGCTAATCAGGCATCATAAAATAACCAATGGGGGAAAATATTCTAATCAGGGATCATAAGGTAACCAATGGGGGGGGGAATATTCTAATCAGGGATCATAAAGTAATCAATGGGGGGAAATATTCTAATCAGGAATCATAAGGTAGCCAATGGGGGAAAATATTCTAATCAGGCATCATAAAGTAACCAATGGGGGGAAATATTCTAATCAGGCATCATAAGATAACCAATGGGAGCAAAAGGGGGCAGGTCTTCACTCAGGTCCTTACAGGGAAGAGAAGGACTCAGGACAGAGGACACTGCTTTCCCGCCTCCCCTCTCTCTTTCTGTCTCCCTGTCCATCTGTCTGTCTGTCCGTCTCTGTGTCTGACTCTCTGTCCGCCTGTTTCTCTCTGTCTCTGTCGGTCTCTGTCTCTTTCCCTCTCTTCATGTGTCTCTCCGTCCTTCTGTCTCTCTCTCTGTCCGTCTCTCTGTCTGTCCGTCCGTCCGTCCATCCCCACCTCCTGCTCGGCAACCCCCGTCTGCCTAACAGTCCCTTGGGCCACCAGGAGCACAGGATGTGGCTGGACACCCCAGCAGTCTCCTCGTCACCCTCGTGGTGCCCACGTCTCCCCGCGCTCAGGACTTCCTGCTCCAGAGTCCCCGGGTCCCCTCTCTCCCCGCACGACGGGCACCGTCCCCATGGCCCCGAGGGGGCTCTCTCCTCCCACCTGAGCTGTCCCAGCTACGCCAAGCCTGGGGCTGAGCGAAAAGTGGAGGTGGCCTGGGCTGGGGTAGCTCTGAGCGTGGCATGAGGGGACCTGGCCCACTAAGGGTAGCAGCCGTGAGGGCAGGGGGGTGGCGGAGTGGCCTGGCCCAGTGGGGTGGAGGCCGGTGGCAGGGGTCTCACTGAGAGGCACAGCCACATGCCAGGAAGAGATGTCAGGTTCCAGCACAGCCATAGCCCCGCGCTGGTCAGGGACCACAGGAAGAAGATGACTTCACTCCAGGTCCCGTTGTCCCCATCAGGGCTAGGGTCCAAGGGGACGCAGTCTCCTGCATAGCTGTGATAAGCTAGGCTGCCCCACAGGGAGAAGAGAGAGCTCAAAAGCTGGGCGCCCACGCCTATCATCCTAGCAGCCCAGGAGGCTGAGGCAGGAGGATCCCAAGTGGAGGCCAGCCTCAGCCACTTAGCAAGGCCCTAAGCAACTCCAGGAGACCCTGTCTCTAAATAAAATAGAAAAAGGGCTGGGGACGGGGCTCAGTGGTCAAGGGCCCCTGAGTTCAATCCCTGGTACCCCCACATCCCCCCCAAAAAAAGGAGAAGAAAAGTCAGAGACATCGTCACCCTCCCACGGCAGCTGGGAGCAGAGGCTGGCCTGCCCGTAAGAGTTTGCTCAACCACTAGTTAATATCCACCTCCCAGATTAACCTGTGGATCATGGAATAGGCGCTTACAGGTTTGTTCATTAATGGAAGAAGGTTCTAGAATAGGCTGGGCCCTAAACACACCTTGTTGGGTCAACCCAACATTGAGCCTCAATGTAAGGCTGGGAAGTCACTGATATTGGTCCCAGCTGATCAGGGTCCCTGTTTTAGCCACACACAGGGGCACACCCCTTCCTTTCCGTCAGCCTCAATGGGCAACCAGGGTCCTGGGGTCTCCTCATTGGGTGGCTGCAGGTGGATCTGGGGAAAGGAGAGCCGTGCTGGGAACTGACCAGCCCAGGAGACTCTCAGCAAAGATGTGTTAACTCTTCCTCAGCCACCAACCATGTCTTCCCGACCTTGTCCTGGTCACGCTGAGCTCATCTGAACCCACTTTTCCAGCACCAAACCTTGGGTGCCATAACTGTCCCTGCAAAGGCCCGGTTCTCAGCATTTTCTTTCTTCCCTTTTTTTGACCCAGAGACTTAACCCAGGGCTGCTTCACCCCTGAGCCCCGTCCCCAGCCCCTTTTTATTTTGTATTTAGAGACAGGGTCTCGCTGAGTTGTTTAGGATCTCTCGCTGAGTGGCTGAGGCTGGCCTCCAATTTGCGATCCTCCTGCCTCAGCCTCCTGAGCTGCTGGGATGACAGGCGTGGGCCCCTGCGCTCAGCTCTGAGCAGTTTGGACAACGAGTAGTTCTTCAGGGGGGTCCACAGTGCCTGCAGCCCCAAGACCCCGTCAAGGGGTCTTCAAAGGTATAATACCAAGATGTGCCTCCTTTTCTGACTCCCCTTCTTGCCTGAGGGTACATATGGCAGCCCGTCAGGGCAGGAGTGATGATACCCCGGTTCTGATAGCCGGTGGGATCTGTGCACTTTAAAATCCGTTTTGCTAAGCACCCTGGCGCACGCCTGTCATCCCAGCTACTTGGGAGGCTGAGGCAGGAGGATGGCAAGTTGGAGGCCAGCCTCTCCAACTTAGCCGGACCCTCAGCCACTCAGGGAGACCCTGTCTGAAAATAAAAATAGAAAGTGGGCCTGGCTTCAATCTCCAGTATCACACACACACACACTCACACACTCACACATCCACACTCATGGTGAGGGTCACACGCACGGGAGCTCTCTGCTGCGTGCAGACTGTCACCTGTCAGGCTGCCAGCTCCCCTGCTCTGGGCTCGTCCACCCGGAGGTGCCCACGGGTGCCGAGGACTCTTAGCAGCTCTTCAAAGTCCAGCAAACAAGAACAAACCCGGCTCTGGCAAGATCCCCAGGCGGGCGGCCGGCCAGCTCCCTGAGCCCAGATTTTCCTACATGTCCAAGGTGTGAGAAAAGTAACACACTTGTTGTTGATCTGCTTGGAAAGGGGCCTTGGGTGTTCAAAACGCACTGTGTTTTCTGAACGGGGTGGCGAAGGACATTCTGTGATTCTTGACCAAAATACCAAGCTGACGTCAAACACACTCCTTCATGGGAAGAAAATATTTTGTTTGGAAATGGATCCCTGGAGACTCACATGGAGGGTCAAACGGATCCTTCCCTGAGCTGAAGCAGGAAGGACCCGTGGGCAGGGTCCCCCTGTTCCCCTGCTCCCTCCACCCCCCCTC